ATTATTATTATTATTATCCAAAATCTTGTTCTTTTTGCTTAAATGTTGTCTGCCATTCACCTCGGGTTGACCCAGACAGGCAGGGTCTGAAGGTCGCCTCCGAAATTATGGAAATTGTGTCAATGGGATCGTAAACACACCGAACAACCAGCGAAAAAACCTCCATCATCTTCAATCAAACTACGCCCTTATTGCATCGAGCATTCATTTCTACTCAGTTTGGTTTTATTTGTTTGAGTAAAGAGAGGCAGGTCGACGAAATAATGGTCTTTTAGTGCTGGGGAAAAAAGGGAGACAGACAGACAAAAACAATAGAGGGAAAGTAAAGAAGTAAGACCCAGCAGTGGGGCCCCCAACCACCCTCACTCAGTGTGGTGCTTATTTTATTTTAACATGGCAGGAGCGGGGTTATTACAGAGAGGAATTTTGGGATGATGAAAAAACTGAATGACAAAATTGGTTGCATATAAAAGTGGTACATGTAGATCGTCAATATCAATGGATTGGGGAATCCCGAAAAGATGCAAAACAGGGTAATTAAGCTGACTCGATGGTGGCAGACGGTACAGAGGTGCTAAACTGTTATTTACGAAGTCGATATCGTCTGTCAAGGTAGACCTTGGAATTTATAACTTCCAAAAATGGAACTCTTATTATAATATAAGTGATATTGACATTCACCATTGTAGGTTTTCAAGTTGTTTTACAAGTTAATAATGATATAAAATTATATCTCTACTTTGTTCTCTATCATTACAAATCTTTTCGGAAGACCACAATTGATGTCTAGACAATTTATTTTAGTCAAAGAATTAGAACGTTTTGCTCTCAAAATGAACGACGGAAAAGAGAGGAGCTTTTCTCTTAATCTCAAACCCCTGAAGTGTTTTCGATAATTCTACAGCCCTTTGTTACTGGATAAACTAAGGTATAGAGGTATTGAATGGGTTTTAACAATATTATTTCAATGTGTGTGTCGTTGTGGTAAAATCAGCTGCTCGTCAAAATAATGAAATTTAAAAAAAAACCCACATTTTTCTTGTCAATTTTTTTCTGCTCAATACCTCTTACATCCATTTAGAACACATGTGTTTGTGTGGATTTTTACCGGAAAACGTTGATAAAAGACACACAAAATGTACTTTTGCATTTTCCATGGACACTCAAGCTTTGGAAGTCACCCGACATTGCCAGCCATTTTTTCGCTAATGTTTCCTCTTACATTAGGCGATCCCTACTTCCTTCAATCACAAATAACTCGGTTTCTAGTCTATATAACATATGGATATTGTTTCCATCAAAAGCAAGACAAATTAACAAGCTCCAAGATAAATAACTCTATATTATATGCCAAAACAAAAAACTGACGAACACCTGATTTCACCACGTCGTGACGCCTGTCCTTTAATTATCGTCTCTAGCCAGCCTCTTAGTAAATGATGGTAAAATATGTTTTTCTAATGTGTTTTTTTAAATGTAGGTGTTTTACGCCCCCATCCACACAATAAAGATAATTTAGGAGCTGGGCTTCAACCTTATTGTGAAGGCCACCCCGGATCAGAGGGATACAACGTCCAGCTAGCAGGAAAGACTGAGAGAGATGCTTGATAAAGATAGCAATTCTCACCACACGGGAATCGAACTCGGATCTCCTGCGTGCGACAGACCTCCTGCCTACCAACAGCTACTTCCAGCTCTATACAAACTCGGCATCGGGAGTTTGGTTTTTTCCCACCCTTTACCCATAGTTCTATGTAATACATGGTCGAAGCTTTTAAATAATAATAATAATAATAATAATAATAATAATAATAATAATAATAATAATAATGATAATAATGATAATGATAATAATAATAACAATAATAATAACAACAACAACAATAATAATAGTAATAATAATAATAATAATGATGATGATGATGATGATGATGATGATGATGATGATGATGATGATGATGATGATGATGATGATGATGATGATGATGATGATGATGAAGATAATGATAATAACAACAACAATAATAATAATAATAATAATAGTAATAATAATAATAATAATGATAATAATAATAATGATAATAATAATAATGATAATGATAATGATAATGATAATAATAACAATGGTAATGATAATGATACTATGTACAAGGAGAGGTAATAAATGTTGAAGGCGGATAGGGTGGGACACATTGAAAGAACGAATGAGAAGGGCAGGGGGGAGGAAGGGAGGGTATGTTTAGGAAGAGGAATAACATGTGGAGGGTTTCTTTTGGGGGAGGGGAGGGGGGGCAAGAAGGCTCGGGGTTTTCAATGTGATGTCACTCATATTCACTTACTAACATCGGGTAGTGGGAAAGGAGCACATACATGTATAACTGTTCTTAATTAAACAGTGTCTCATAATTTATGGTTCAGCGAAAAAGGAGAAAACAGATCTAAGCTTAGTCTAGCTATCTCCATAATATTGACTCTACTAGTCCCAAGCACTATTATTGTAATACTACTTGACGTCCCGCTGCGTTATTGACGTAGCACACTTTCCTTCAGAATGCAAGGGTTCTCACTCCATTTTCCCGAGAACTGAGTCACACACCACACATCACTGACACAAATGCCCTGCTCACTGTGTTAAAGGCTTGAAACTATCAGACCCGTTCTTTTTTTCAGTGTTGACACTCAACAATTAATACAGTATAAAAACATTTCAGCTGTGAGAGTGAATCTTTGAATCCTATTTTCTCAAAACTATGCGTCATAGAGTTAGAAACCTGTCATTCTAAATAGGCAATAATTTTGTGTTGTTATCGTGTTTTTGAGTCACTCGAGCAAATCGATCACAGATTTTTCTCAATGTGTAAATAATATAAAAGTGCAAGAAATTACACATCCCCAATGCCTCGTAGCAGATTCAGCCTTTTTCACATTTCTGTTTTCATGTCAAATCTTATGACAGATTCAAGCATTTTTACATTTCCGCTTCCATGTCAAATTCTGTGATTACTACTTCGAGTAAGCCACTGTGCTGTAGTCGGTTGGTAAATTAGCCGATACGCGAAAGTTAGGGGTTCAAACCAAACATGTATCCAAACAGGGCTGATTCCACACTGACTCAAATCAGTGTATGTGTACGTGTGTGTGTATGGGGGGAGGGGGGGCGGATGTGTGTGGGTGTTTGAACAAGTTTATTGGACGTTTTTTTAACTGTCCGTACTCAAGCATGTACTAGAGAGAGAGAGAGAGAGAGAGAGAGAGAGAGAGAGAGAGAGAGAGAGAGAGAGAGAGAGAGAGACAGAGGAGAGAAGAAAGAGTGTGGGGAGAGATTTAGATAAGAGAAAGAGAAGCGAAAGAGAGAAAGCAGGGTAGAAAGAAAAAGATGGTTTAAAAAAGGATCATTACTAGAATCTATGATGCTCGTATAATGTGTACTAGTATGATTTAAAGCGAACGGAGCACTTTTTTGTTGGAAATGCGCTATATAATATTATACTGAAACTTGTTATTGTTAATTTGCTATTTTCTACAAGTCGACTAAACTCAGCTATAGCCCGCGTGTCCACCAAACCAGAAACCATCCGATTAATGCCGCATTCCAATCGACCCGACTTTTGCTGTGAGATCGTTTTTGTGGACAGAGGGAAGCAAAATAATTATCTCTTACGGCTAAGGTTAAAAATAATCGGTGCCCTATTTCAACTACCAATTTGCGGAGAGACAGGTGACATATGATCGGTTGGTTTCTTGTGTGGTGGACACGAGGGCTTAAAGGATGTGACGGTATACCCGGTTCCCACTGGCAAGATCGGTTTGGTTCGGTTCGGTTTGGTCGTCGGGGCAAGTCAGATTCTCCTCCATGGAGGGAATAAAAGCTACCATCGTGGCACAAACCGAAAAAAAACCCAACCCACCAACGCTGACCTTCAAGAAAAAACGCGCTTGTTTTCAAGGCGGCGAATCGGGCGATCGGTCTTGACCATCAATGATTTATTTATAGAGGCACCAGCCATCCATGTCCAGGTGCTGTTTTAGCCTCTTATGGGCGATCGGTGTGAGGCAGAGGTCTTTTTATGGTGGTCACTGAATAGGTAGCCAGAAACCGAACCGAAGTGAACCGATCCTCCAATGATTTAGAAAAGTCTAGACATAAACGCGCTGGCGGTTGTGCTACTTCGGCCCCGACTCATCATCCGTCGTTTGCTTTCACCTGTCTTGACTAAGTTGGAGATGTCTGGGGCAGACGTGAAGGGTTTTGGCGGACACTGGGAGGGGGCAAGGGGGGCGGCAACTGCATCCTCTAGCCATGACGTGTCGTTCTGTGATTGGACAGTTTCTGTTTGCGCACCGGGTGTCGTCCCGTCTTCGCGCCAGGAGGCGGTGGTTGCCGGCTGGACGTAAGAGTTTTGCTCTATGGCGGTCACCGGCACAGTGGCTGGTTGGGAGGTGAGAGCGCTTGTGAGCGCAGATGGTTGGAGATTTGTTCTTCCGGCGAGTGATGTTGAGTTCGGAAAGGGTCTTCCGGATAGAGTTGAGTGTGTCGTCGCCCCCGTGCTGTCTGGATCCCTCGCCACGTGAGAGAGATTGACGTGGTGTGTGTTCACGTTAACGCCGTCACGTAAGTGGGTCAATCCTGTGTCGTCAATTGAGGTATGGACGAGAGGGGAGGAGGGGGAGGAACCGTCTCCAGAATCCTGACGTCCACAATCTGATAAACTCCTCATGTTTGGTGCAGCCATACCTTGGCGCTTGCGTCCCGAAGCGAAAGTGTTACCATCTTGTGAATCTCCAGCTATAAGACCGAAGCTCTCCTCTTCTCTTTCTCCGTCCCCTCCTCCTGATCCTCCTGATCCTCCTCTTCCTCCTCCTCCTCCCCCTCCTCCACCTCCTCCTATACCTGCCGACTTGTTATGCTCCCGTAGAACTTGACACAAATCGTTAAATCTTCTGAATTGACCTTTCGGTTTACCCAATCCGGGTAGAGCGCGGATCGAATGTTCAGTTGATGGATGGTCGTCATCTCTACAACCAGGTCCCAGCAGTGGGGTCATCGACTTCTCCCCCGTCACGCTGTCCGAGTCGATGGACGCTCCTGCGTCATCACCTGATCCGTCGTGGGACGATGACGTCAGCCTGACGTGACCTCGACGTGGCCAAAAATTGGCAAGATCACGAGACGTGGACGAGGGACAGAGACAGTCGTTGTAGTGAGAGGAACAACCGCTTGATACCGGTGGAGCGGAATCGTCCTGGACATCAGAGTCGGGCGGGTTCGGGGACGGGTATTCGTTTGGCGATGCAGGATATCCGGGTGATGTATCCGGATTCTCGCGATCCGATTCGGCACCCGCCTCTGGGTTACCGGGTGGTGTCCGAGTCTTGCCGCCGACGAATCGGAAAACGCTGAACAAAGATTTGAGCCCGAACCGCCTGGGCTGGGGTGGAGGTGTGGTGCTCTTTGATGGAATCGTTTCTACAATGATCTGTGGATGGAGATAGGAAACATACGTGAACTTTTCTCTTTTCTTTGGTTTGGAGCTTGGATCGACGACACCATGATATTCTCAAGGTTTTTTCAAATATACATGTAATTGTAAGTGTTCTATGCCACGTCAGGACAATTTAGATACTTTAGGAGACGAGCTGAATGAAATATGACATCCTAGGAGACAGATGAAGATACTGGAAAAACATTCTCTACTGGAAAAACATTCTCTCTCCTTATAGAATAGAAATACTTATAGGTAAGACTCAATATTATAGAAAGTTTTACGTCACTTTTAACACAATTTTGTCATATAATAAGTGTAGAAGATTAGATTTGTCATTAGAGAGTATCGTACTATAGAAAAGAAGGAGGAGAGATAAGGAGGATATACGCTTGATGGATAAGAAGGGGAAAACCTCACCAGAGCACGGGCAAGCCACCCACAAGTTGACCTTTACACCCCCACTGTGTGACCCAATTACAGGACTGGCCCACTAAGTGGTCAGATCAATGACGTGAAGAGGTAAGAACTTCTTCACTCTGTGCCAAAGAGGTTGCTCTGTGCTCAGACGGCTTCCAGGGGGGAGGCAGAGAGATTTGCCCGGAATTACCTCCCCTGTGCACTGTGCCCTGTGGCTTGCACGGAAAACCTATCACAACTTTACACCAGACAAATGTTTTTTAAAGAAAAAAAAA